TAATTGAATTTTTTTATTATAATTTAATTTAGGTCAAATAGTGAAGTAATTTATTTTTGGCTTAAATTTTTTATAAAGATAATGATTTTGTTAGAACTCAATAATAATCCTAATTATATTTGGATTTTTATATTTAAAATAAAATATTTATCCTAGATTTAATTAGGTTTATCTGCAGTTAGTTATACGAATTTAAAAATGAAGCTTTAATAAGTTGTACTTATGTATAATTTACTTGTAATTTTAAATTTTAAGTAATATGCATTAATATATAATACTTCATGCATAAAGAATGATTTTTAAAAGTTTTTGTCAAATGCTTTGTAATATAGTATAGATAAAGAAATGCATATTCTAATCAGTTGAAAACTACACGTACCATAGATTACCACAACAAAATCTATTAAAAAGAAATATTCACCTCTACATACAATTATTTGCAAACGGTCACAATGAATTTAGGTATCACAGATTATGACAATGAAACCCAACAAAAATCCTCTAAAGAAGAAACACCAAACTACTCTACATACAATTATTTAAAGAAACATAGTTACAATGCATTAATGTACCAAAGAATAATTACAACGGAGTACCTGAGAAAATCTTGAAATATTTGGCAGCTTGCAATTAATCACTGCAAAAGGCTTCAAATTTGATCTAATTTTGACCGAAGATGCATCCGTGTGTTGTCGGCAGACTGAAAAATTCATCATGTGGTTTCTTCAATCGGTGAGAATGACTGACTAGGTCTGAGGGAAGGTAAAACAGGTAGGGGTGTTCGTGGTCCGGTTTGGGCGGTTTACCCCCCCCCCCCCAAGACCACAAACCAAACCGTAATGGCGGTTTATAAAATTTTCAAACCGAGCGGTTTGACATCAAGTGCCCAGACCGGTCAAACCGGTCTGCTCTGACCGGTTTAAACGGTTTGGGTCTTTAATAAACTTTAAATATTAAACTTAAATAAACATATATAATTTATAATTTTAGATTAAATATCTATTATGATTATGTTAGATGTTAGGTTTTATGTTGGGCTTAGAGATATATTTGAGTATAGTCCATAAGTTAAAAAAGTTGGGTTTGTTAATACTAAAATAAATAATTAAACAAATAATATATATATATATATATATATATATATGGTTGTCGGTTTGGTCCAAACCGCCCAAAAAATGTTCCAGAACGCAGACCGGGTCGCCAGGTTTTGCAATTTTCCAAACCAAACCGTTAGACCGCTCAAACCGCCAAAAACGATCCGGTTTGACATGGTTCGGCCGGTTTGAGTGATCCAACGGTTTTTTTGAACACCCCTAAAAACAGGAGAAGATAAAAGTTAAAATATAAAAATAATCAAATTCAAACCTGTTGTTGGAAGACGATGAGTAGACGATAGCAAGTGATGAGTGAGCGACCGATTAGGGTTTCTTCTTCATGCTTGCGCCTTGCTGAGTTGCTGTTTTGAACAGAATTGATCGATAAAAACTTAGAAAAAACATGAAACGGTGAGTCGGTGAGGTGAGGACTGAGGGTGAGGGTGTGAGGCCATGAGGTTGGATTGGAAACAAAATTAAAGAGTATAAGGGGTAGTTTACCAAACACTTACCTGGTAAGTGTTTACCGGTAAAATTTAACACTATTATTTACTTACTGGATAAAATTTTAGTCCACCAAAACGATATTGTATGCAACAATTTACCTGGTAAGTGCCCGTGGTAAGAGTCGTCGCCTTCACTTACCGAGTAAGATTCATGGTCCTTGTCTCGCTCTTACCGGGTAAGATTCTTGATCCTTACCATATTCATCCGGTGAGGTAACATGACTTGGTAAGCACTTACCCGGGTAAGTGTTTGGTAAACGACCCCTAAATCTATAATAAAGTAATGGACTAGGTTTAAATAAAGGCCGACGTTGGATTAGCCTAAAAATGTCTTTAACTCTTTACGGGGCAAGTTCCAAGATTTAAAAATTTTCTTATATGTAAATAAAAGTTTATATAAATATATTTATATATTAAACGAACATAAATAAACGAGCGTAAATGAACGAACGTTCACGAATGTAAATGAACAAATGAGACATTTGTTCATGTTCGTTCATTTATTAAAATAAACAGATATAAATGAACTTCTTGCTAAACAGTTCACAAACAGTTTGTTGAACCCAATTAATTTAAGAACAGTTGCACTAAGCACGAGAATAAGTGTCGGATTAGTTTTTTTTTAAGTATATAATATTTATATATAGTAAATAGTTTAAATAAATTCACATACCCTTCTCACTTTTGGTGAAATTTGAACCTCTGACCTCCTAAGAGGCCAAAGACTCACATATCACAAGACCAAAAACTATTTGGTTACTTTTTTTAGACAATGAGATTTTTTTTAAAAGTACATAGTAAATATACACATCAGTTATTCATACATACAACACCACTTGTATCGTTAGGTCAATAACCTTTTGGTAACTATCATACTTTGTTTATTTAATTTGTTCAAACATAAATATCAGTTTTGCTGCAAATAGTTACACTGATATATCAATACTTGTTTGAATTTTTACATCCTATCGAATTGCACGGTACTTAACTAGTCAATATATTAAATATTATACTCAGGGGGTGTTTGAGGTTGCTTACAAAAGCTCCTTATTGACTTATTCTGGAGTGATACCGGTAATAAGTCGTTTTAAGTGTTTGGATAGGGAAGAAAATAAATTGCTTATACCGGTGCCAAACCGGTAATAAGCAGTTTTTGATCGTCAAATTCAACTTAATAACAATTTACCTTTTTAACAGCCTCTCTGTCACAACCCCTAGCAGCCGTTCACGTCTCCGCTTTCGCCGTCGTCCCTCGTCGGCGTTTTCTTCCGACGCTGCCCTCTTCGGCAGGGGTCGTCGTTGGAGATGTTAGATACTTTCTTCATCAGGTAGAGAACCTTTCCATTCATATACAGGCTTGGCAACGTTTATGTGTGAGAAAAACAATAGTTCCTAAAGAAAATAACGTCTCAGTGCATTCATCAATCAGAAAAAAAAAGCATACATCCAGATTAGAAAATACCATCTGAGTCGCATTCCTAAAGACCTGCCCTTTGTGTACCCATTGTCTCTAATTGGTACTGTTGTAAGCTAATCCAAACACTTTTTATAAAAATTCAGTTTGACAGACATAAGTTTATGAACACTTTTACAAGAAAAGCATAAGTTGTTTTGAATAAGCAAATCCCAAACACCCCCTTAGATGGGAAAAAATCATGTTTAACAAAATCATAATTCAGATGTTTTTTTTGAAGTATATAATATTTATATACGATAAATAGAATAAATAAATTCATACACCCTCCTCATTTTTAGTAAGGTTTAAACTCCTGACCTTTTGGAAAGTTAAAGACTCACATACCGCCAGGCCAAAGACCATTTGGTGTAATTCAAAGGTTTTGACGTCACTTATGTTATAATTTTTAAATGATTAACCCATGTTTTAAATATTCATAATTAATTTTTAATTATTATACTTATTATAAAATATTTGACAAAAACTCTTAAAAATTATTTTTTATGCATGAAGTATTGTTTATTGATGCATAGTACTTAAAATTCAAGATTATAAGTAATTGTGTGTAAGTACAACTTATTAAAGCTTTATGTTTTGAATTCGTGTAACTAACTGCACATAAACATAATCGAGAGGATAAACATTTCATTTTAAATATAAAAAATTTAAAATACAATTAGGATAATCATTGAAAATATTTAGTTATTATTTTTATAAAAAATATATTATTAAAAAAAAATAAATTAAAGAAATACAATATTTTTTTAAAATAGTTAGTTTGATACTAATATCAATATCTTTTTTCAATTCTTTATGGCATTTTCATATTTATATCTTATTTAAAAATAAAAAACATCATCGCTTTCTCAAAACCATATAAAATTGTATTATAACATCGACTGAGACGAAAAAATTTACAAAACATTAAAATTGAGATGTATCTCGCTACATTGTGTGAGTAACTTCTAGTAGGGGTGCTCATAAATCCGACCAACCCAATCAATCCGATCAAACCCAACCTAAAGCGAAATAACCCAACCCGAAGCAACCCGATGTCTAATCGAGTTGTAAAATTGTCAAACCGTAGGTATTGAGTTGATATTGGGTTACTATAACCCAACCCTATGAACCCGATAACCTTTTATTTATAGGATTTAATATGATTGTTGAATTTATATTAATATATACATTAGACAATTACACTATCATGTTTTCTTTTCATATACACATCTCTATATAGTCATTCATATATATGTTCAATAACTGTGAATATATATATGTAAATTGAGAAAATTAACTGAATGTGATATACATAAGAAATATGGATAAATTGTATCAAATGGTTGATGATGAAAAGAAACTATAAGTAAAAAAATAACATATTTAAGATTAAAAGAATATTTTAATGTACCAAAGTATCAACCCGACCAATCCGTACGGATTGGGTTGAGTTGCATTTTGGTTTGGGTTGAATTGAGTTAAGATTTTCCAAACCACAAACATTAGATTGAATTATTTAAATGTCTTCAACTTAATCAACCCAACCCATAAACACCTCGCCTTTTAGTATTTGAAATAAATATTTATAAGTTAATTATTATTCGTCGTCTTCTGTGGAGATATACAATGATACAAAACTAGCCCCTGTACTTATTACTTTTACAATCTGGCCACAAAAGAAGTATTAATTTCGTTTTATTCAGATTTTCTCATTTCGAAATCTCAGATCCACACACATCTCTCTGTTTCTCTTGAATCATGGTCGTCGTCTTCCTCTCTTCTGATTTCTTCGTTAAACCCTAGCATTTCAATCCTTTTTGATCTTCTACATAATCATACATACAATTTGAAACGAAGATGTATATGGCGTACGGATGGCCTCAGGTGATCCCTCTGGAATCAGGGCTATGTCCAACTTCGCAGAAGATCATATACCTTAAAGTTGTTGATCATTTATTACTCGTCGTTTGCCCTTCTCATTTGGAGCTCTGGAGCTCTTCTCAGGTCTTCTTTTTTGTCTCTCGTTATAAATTATTAGTATATATATGTTATCTATAATTTGTTGAAATTGCATCATTAGGTCGTAAATTTGAGTTGTTTTCGATGGGTTTTACTCAAAACTGTGATGCATTATAGGCGAGATTTATACATTTGATTCACGAAATTGATGATTATGAGCATGAATTTTGTTGACAGTTGTGTGTGGAAGTGGAATTGTAGTTGAGTTTCTATTAGAAGCATTAGGAATGAAGTACTCAGACCAATAAAACGATGTGTGTATGTGTGAATACAAAAGTTGAAATTGTTGATTTGGTAGATTATATTGTGGCAAAACGAAGTTCATCTGAGATGGAGTGAGTGTATCTATAAATGCAAATCTTATTTAATTTAATATCAATTGGGTGTGGGATGTTCTTATATATATGTAATGTCATGAGTGTTACAAGTGCATTTACTGTTCAGTTGAGGTTTGTAAAGTGTATTATATGTTTTTCTTGGGGTTAAGCTGAGATTTATAGGTGTCAATTTTTTGTTTTGGTAAATTTGGTGCAGCATAGGGTGAGACTAGGGAAGTACAAGCGAGATCCGGCATCGATATCAAAAGAGGGGGAGAATTTGCAGGCTGTCTGGAGCCCTGATGCTAAATTGATTGCTATTCTTGTAAGTATGAGATTGGCTGATCTCTGCATTGTTTGATTCATGAATTTGTGGTAGATCATTCATCCGGGCACTTATGACATTTATTTATCTGTCTTGTTATTTGCATTGATCCTATGCTATGAAGTTTATGTATGTGGGATTGTTGCCAAAGAACCTCTTTTGGTTTCTCTCAGAGGTATTTATGCTGTGGCCTGTGAACCCGTTGCAGATAGTAATAGCAACATTGCTTTTGGAAAAGAGCAAAGCATTGCACTATTTCTGCACTAATCCGGTCATGATTATATCCGCTGCAATAATGGTGCCATTGCATGGGGTATTTTTTATGTCACAGTTGTTTCAGATCGAGTTTGTTCTATTACGTGTTTTAAGATGCATATTTGCTGAAAAGGCATGTTGATTATTCACTCGTATTGAGTTTGAGATTAATTGAGTGATTCAAGCTATTCTTTTCAAACTGAAGCTGAAGAGAAATTAAAAAAGAATGAGGAAGCCTAAAGTTGTAGTAAAACTTTGTTATAATGTATGCTATACTTTGAATTAGAAGTTGGTATACATGATCAAGACAACTACTACATTTGGCATCAGGTTGTTGGAAGCATTTTATACTGATGTAAATTTTGTATTGTTGACTTTGCTTGCAGACGTCCTCATTGTACCTTCACATTTATAAAGTCCAATTTTCTGAGAAAAAAATACACATAGGAGGAAAGCAACCATCCAATCTGTCTCTTGCAACTTTTTCTCTACTTATGAGTGAGGAGATACCCTTTTCAGGCAAGGACTTGGCAGTGTAAGAACGACCTCTAACCACTTCTTAGCTTTGAAGATGAATTGTGTTTATTTTTTCTTTTTAGTTTTCTTGTGTTGTATATAAGTACTTAGCACATTGGCTGTTTTCTGTATCCTGTTTCATCCATAATAAATGGTTTTCGTGTAAGAGTGGCAGGTAAAGAGAGTTGATACAAAAGAGGAGGAACAAATAGTAGGATTGTTTCTGCACACTATATTGAAAATAATGGATATATATTTGATTGAAGCCACTTTCACTAATAAATTTGGGGTTTTAGATTGCAAGCAATTAACTTCATCTAGTTCCAGATGCTGCGTTGTTTGCTACAAGCATCAAACCAAATGAGAAATGTCTCATCTGTTATGACTTAGGAGTCATCCTCGAAGAGCAAACTGTTGCTTTTAATATGAGACGGATGGTCTTTTGTATATTTAGTCCAGCAAAAGAGGGCAACCCTCCTGTTTAGCTGCCATCATGTTATCCATTTTTGCTTCAACTCTATGAACTTTCTAATCTCTATATTTCCTAAAATATGTATTCAATTCTTAGCCCTTTTTGGTGGACCCATGGCCTGGAATTTCATTAACTTTAGCGTATCATCTTTGTGGTCAATAATGATTATAAAAATGGTCATTAGTGATGGATTAAGTTGTACAAGGAAAAAGAACCTGAAACTATAAGAAGCAGAGTTCTGAATTTCATGGAAATGATTCCCTGATTTACTAAGTTTTCAGCTTTTTCGTACTCTCCTATTGTTCACACTTCTTTTGCCTTTGTGACAGGAGCAATATCATTTGTGACAGCAAAAACTTGTTGGTTGGACTTTCTAACGGAACCTTATATAATATGTCTTGGAAGGGCGAGGTAATGCAATTTTTTGGTGCGCATAATGTTAGATGCAATTAATAGCTAAATAATGGTAAACTCATGAATATATTATGTTACTCATTTCAATTGTTCAGAGTCACCAGTAAAAGATTACAATGTTTCGATAAATTATAACTTTTCTTTTTGATTTTCTGTTGCACAGTTTTATGGAGCCTTGGATCTGGATTTCCATTTGTATAACGGAAATGGCCATGCAAAATTGTCCAGTGCTCTAGGCAATGGTGTCACTTCTGGAGTTCTGTCATCAAGTCATTCTTTGTCTAGAAAGTCGGCCATCACTTATTTGGAGTTTTCGCTACCACTGCGGCTGTTATTTGTCCTATTTTCCGATGGAAAATTGGTGCTATGTTCCGTTAGTAAGAGAGGTCTAAAGCAAGCCCACTCTGTTAACTTTGAATATCGGTTGGGCTCTGATGATGCGGTATGTACTTCAGTTGCACCAGACCAACAAATCCTTGCTGTTGGCACCAGAACAGGTGTCATAGAGTTATATGAAATTAGTGAACCCGTATCACTTATTCGCACTGTATCTTTACATGATTGGGGGTAAGTTTTTCCTTTTATGACACTTAGTCTTATAAATTAGTCATGCTTGAACATCTTTGAGTTTTTTTCCTTTCACCTCTTGGTATGTGGCATGATGTAATGCTGATGAATAGTAGTCAAGGGAGCATGCTGGCACTTATAAGTCTATTTTACTTCTACTGTAACTTCTTCCTGGATTCCTACAGTTATTCATTGATGTTTCTTTCGTCACAATAAATTCTCTGATCCAATTCTAAACTGTTTTACCTTCCATTATATGGTTTCACCTTGCTTACTTGTCCTATTTTACAAGAGAACGTCCCTTTTGGCTGCTTTGCTTGCCTCCATGGCCCATGCAATCTCTTGTAGATTCTATTCTGTCAATAAATTTGTAAGAGGGTGACATTAGAGATAGAGGGTTACTGAAATGTTTGGGTGTGGATGCTAGGTGATGTTCGGTTGGTCTGACTTTGAACCACCTATGTTCTTGAGAATTTCTTCCCTTCACTTATAGAAAATGCTGATTTAGGACTACTGACATCTATAATTTTATGATGTGTTGGAATGCTCTTAAGTCTTAAATTATCATGATTCATGAAGGGAATTTATGGTTTTTGCCATTAAAAAGTTTATGAGAACATGGTTGGTCACTTGACTACCTCATAACATATACACAGCCGATAAATAGTCTGATGATATCCTGGAATCTAAGTAATGAATGCCTGCTTTACTTGTTTGTTTCTGTAGATATTCAATGGATGATACGGGTGCAGTTAGTTCTATTGCGTGGACACCCAATAGTTCTGCTTTTGCAGTTGGCTGGAAGTTAAGAGGACTTACAGTGTGGTCAATATCTGGTTGTCGTTTAATGTCTACGATCCGTCAGATTGGTTTAAACTCTGTCTCTTCTCCACGGGTTAAGCAAAACCCAGATAGCAATTATGAACCTTTGATGAGTGGCACCTCATTTATACAGTGGGATGAATATGGTTATAGACTTTATGCTGTTGAAGAAGGTTCTTCAGAAAGAATACTTGCATTTTCTTTTGGTAAATGTTGCCTCAACAGAGGGGTTTCAGGCAAAACACATGCCCGCCAAGTTATTTATGGTGAAGATCGGTTACTTATGGTGCAGCCTGAAGATACAGATGAACTCAAATTAATGCATCTTAACCTTCCAGTTATGTGTAGGATTAATTATGACAATGGCTCTCTTTTATATATATATATATATACACACACACACATAGAGAGAGAGAGAGAGAGAGAGAGTTGGGTTCAAACGAAAACAATACCTATTTAAGAGAATAAGAAAACGGCCGAATCACATGTGATTCACGCGATTTTGCTCTGCGACCTGAAGACTCGGCCAAAGTCGCCCGCACACCTCTTTTTGGCTGTTAATGTAAAATCACATGTGATTTTGCACATGATTTGACTGTTTTCGTATTCTCTTAAATAGTTAGCATTCTCGTTTGATCCTCCCCCCCTCTCTCCCCCTATATGTATATATATATATTTTATATATATATATATATATATTGAAGTATATAATATTTATATACGACAAATCAAACTCACACACAATTCTCACCTTTGGTGATAATTGAACGCCTGACCTCCAAGAAGGTGGAGTTACCGGGTACCGCTGGGCCAATGGCCCTTTGGTGTGGTTCTCTCTTTATATTCTTGTATATTAGCTGCTCATATGGTTTTCCTCCTATGCAGGTTTCCTATATATCCCAAAATTGGCCTGTTCTTCATGTAGCGGCTAGTGAGGATGGGATGTATCTAGCTGTTGCTGGTCTTCATGGGTTGATCTTATATGATATTCGATTAAATAGATGGAGATTTTTTGGCGATGTTACTCAGGAACAAAGGATTCAATGCACAGGCCTGTTATGGATGGGGAAGATCGTTGTTGTTTGCAACTACATTGATTCATCAGACACGTGAGCAATTTATTGACATTTAGACCCTCTTTGTGGTTATGTTAGTTGGTAAATAATAAGTGTTTATCTACCTATACCCTATCAAGTGAACAAATCTGTAATCTCATGCTGTGTTCTTAAGATACCCAAAGAACAGTATTACAGCAATCCCTTTTCTGTCTCTTCTTTTCTTTGTTGTTTTGATCGTTGATGATTTGCATTTTTGTGTTTTGGTGTTTACTTGTTTCATTAAGATACCAGATACCTTACATTCATGGTAATATGGACTCTCTGATTTGAACACTTAAGGTCTTTTAACTGAACATAAGTTTTAGGAGTCATAACACTTGCGGAGATTCAGAACAGTTCTCTAATTGGCAGATGTTTGAAGTTTCCAGAGACAAAGCTAGCAAGTGCTCCTATTCTAACACCCAGGATCTTAAGAATTTGTGTCCAAGAGACTTAAAGCAAAAACATGTATTTAAGCTAAAAAGAATGATTTTTTTTGTTGGAACTGTAAACTATACTATTGTAATCATGCTACAGGAGATGATATTAGAAATGAAAAGTTCTGCTGACACTAATATGAGAACTTCTTGTCTTCAGAGCTAAGGGCATAAAAGGAGAACATAATAGTAGTTTGCACATATAATCAGATCCATTTTCTGTGCACTTATCTTAACAATCAGTCCCCAATCTTGGGATTGTAAAGTCCAGAGAAGTAGAAAGGAAGACAGACTTGTGCTAGTTACCTGCCTTGTGGCATGTTGTAGCCAGTTATAAAACCTGTTGACCTTTTTCAGGTGTGATATGTTTTCTACAATCAGAGTACATAATAATTACTTGTGAATTATATCTTCGACGATGATTAGCTCATTCACCCCTTAAACAATAATTAGGTTTTTACCAAATTTTGTGGACTGGGTTATTGAGGATTCAAAGTAGAACAGGCTTCTATTGCATTAACAGGTCGGAAGCTTCAATATTTCCATACCATTATGATATGTAAGTAAGAAAAAGTGACCAAAGCGCCTTTGTCCAATCGGTATCCGGGCCTTTGGCCTCCCAGGAGGTCAGGGGTTCCATCCTCACCAAAGGTGAGGAGGGTTGTAATGCGTTGACCCAAGCCCAGGCCCATAAGTACCTGGTAGATTCTGGAAGAGGTTAGAGAGGGGTGTAGTGGGGAATTAGTCTGTTTTTGGCTAGTATAAATAATAGGGCAGTAACCATAGTAGGGTATCCAGAAAATTAGTAAGAGTGTTCTTAGGAGAGCTCTGGCCTCTCGAATAACGAGAAACCCTTTTGTTTACTGTTGAATTCCAGCAAATCCTTTGATAATTTCCTTTTAGTGTTTGATTGATTCTTGATTTGGGTTCATAACAAGGGGGTGTGAGTTTATTTGTTGCATTTGCTGTATATAAATATTGTATGCTTCAAAAAAGAAAAGAAAAAGTGAGATCTACTAGTTAACCAGTAGTGTGTAGCATGTTTTAACTCAGAATTTTAAAACATATCGACTCTTTGCAGGTATGAGCTGCTCTTCTACCCTAGATATCATCTTGATCAGAGTTCGCTTCTTTATCAGAAACCATTGCTCGGAAAACCCATGGTGATGGATGTCTATAACGACTATTTACTTGTCACTTACCACCCATTTGATGTCCATATATATCATGTCAAGGTATCCGGTGACTTGACTCCTTCCAGTAATCCTGTTTTACAGGTAAATGGATTCGCCGATTAGTTTATATTTGTGTTCATCAGGTTTTCTGAAACTGTTTTTTTCTCCGCATACCATATAATCTTATGTTTCTAGTCCTTGAGTGAGGGTAATTGTAATCTTTAATTTCTTCCTGCATTTTTAAGTGATAAAATGACAAACAGCTTTCTACAGTACGAGAGCTATCAATCATGACTGCAAAGTGCCATCCTGCTGCAATGCGGTTTATACCTGATCAGCTTGAAAGTGATCAATCCATTAAAGAAACTTCATCATCTCCAGATTTGTTAGAAAAAGAACCCATTAGGTTTGTGCTTCTGCATCGAGCATGTAAATATAATTTATGTGTATTTTGAATAATGTATTATTGCTTTTTTTTTTTTTTGCAGATGTTTGATACTAAGGGCCAATGGGGAGCTATCATTACTTGATTTAATTGATGGTCGGGAAAGGGAGCTTACAGATTCTATAGAATTGTTTTGGGTTACCTGTGGCCGGTCGGTGGATAAAACAAACTTGATCGAGGAAGTTTCATGGTTAGACTATGGCCATCGCGGAATGCAGGTGATGGTTTTCTTGGCTTACAAAATTCTATGGTTTTAGTATTTTTATCCTTATATATGATATAGCTGCTGGTTACAGGTTTGGTATCCATCTTCAGGCGTGGACCCCTATAAACAGGAAGAATTCTTACAGGTAAGCAGATTAAATGCATATTTCATCACCTTATAAGAAAGCCATCTCCCTTAGGTCCCATTTGGTTTGGAGGATTGGATTGGACTTGGAATTGAATGTCATTCCAACCCCATGTTTCGTTTGAAGGTTTGCCTGGATTTGAATTCCCACGGGGGTGGTTGGTATTTCACGGGATTTCGTAGGATTTGTATGTCATAATCTTTTGAAATATGTAAAAACATTTGTTTTGTAATATTCAATTAATAAAAAGATAATTTAATTATTTTTATAATTATTTATAATTTGTTTTTATAAATTATTTATAAACAATTCCATTCCAAATCCTACAAATGTAACACACCAAAGATTCCAAATCCTTCCAAATCCAAATCCCTCCAATTCCAAATCCTTCCACAAAATCCAAATCCTCAAAACCATTCCATCAAACCAAACGTCCCCTTTCAGTTGTAATGCTTGTAGGTTTGACACATTTGTTGGTCCTTCAATGGTGGTAGTCTTGTGCATTGAACTTTCTGTATTATAACTTCTAGTTAAATGCTAACGTTTAGTATAACCTCAATCGAGTTTGCTTAATCAAAAACATTGTCTTATTTAATGCCAAGAATTCAAAAAGTAAATGACTGCATTGCATAAAGATCACTTAGCTTTCAAAAAATGTGCATTACTTTTCAGTAACTATGCATATATTTACCCAAACGTACAAATGTGAATATATAAACATACTAACCATTTAAAAGTACATGAATTTTTTTGTAAAAACTTTGTTCATTCAACAAAAATTTGTGTTTGTTTATTTAAACGAAAAACATTTAATAAACATAATTTTTGAAGCAAACAGGTTCATATGAAACTGAATATATTAAAGGAAAAAAAATATTACATATAATTTCTTTTTTTTGGGGGGGGGGGATTGAGGGTGAGCCTGGGAACCCCCTGGTCCTTTAGTGGCTCCGCCCTTGAAGGTTGAGGCCTGAAACGGAGCTCAACATGTAAATCTCATGGAACGAACCGGTCCAGTACCAGACTCTGTCAGGGTAACAAATGTTTCAGATTCATAAGCTTAATGGGAGAGTCATTTATAAGATTGGACATTTTGATACGGGTTTCTGGGTTAATAAACATATTCTCCCCAAGGCATATTAGATATTCCTCAAATTCTGTGACATAGGATGATCATCCAAGAATATAAACATTTGTCTCAGGAAGTGCTATTTTTTAATTTTTAAAAGTGGTCCAATGCCCTAGATAGTAAGAGGAACAGTTGTTGGAATATTCAGATGTATGTCTGGATTTACTTTAGATTGGCTTATAGCAACAATCATCTTTAGGATATATTAAGAGAAGTCCATTCACTTGACATCCCATATAACTTCTACATTTAATTTTAGGGGGTGGAAACTATCAACAACAGTCCCCCAACCATACATGATATAACTGTACCATGTGAAAAAGTGTGCTTCAGCTTGAGACATACACTTTTGTGCCTGCTGCTGAATTTTGTGAGGGACTGCTTATAATCTTTTTCAGTAAAGTATCTGACAGTGGTGTTCACGGTTCTCATGCCTAATTGTGAGAACAATGACTTAGGGGCTGTTTGGTAGCAGCTTAATAAGCTGTATAGGATGATGTATGGCTTATTCGGTAAGCCATACAAGGTTGTTCGGTTGTGGCTTATTAAGCTGTCTAGGGTTTAAGGAAGGCAAAAATACCCATTTGGGCCAAAGTCCTCTTTCAATTCTGACCACCAAAGTTTTAGGTTTTTACAATATCGTTTTAATTCCTTCCATTTTCTCCAATCTGGTCACTTTTACCTTGTAATTGCATTTTTTACTCTACACAAATTTGGGAAACATTTTTATCAAACTATTGTTTTATTCAGACAAAAATAAAGACTGGGGGTAAAATGGTCATTTTCTGACATTCAGACTGTTATTCAGCATAACAACCGAACAACAACTTATCTATTAATATACAGACAACTATATCCATACAGGTTTAACAGAAAACGAACCGAACCGAACAGACCCTTAGGGTCTGTTTCTTAGCAACTTAATGAGCTTAATGGGACTCGCAGCTTATTCGGTCAGCTATACATGACTGTTTGGTAGTGACTTAATGATATAGAAATTGGCTTATTCACTAAGCTTCTAGGACAGAGCTTTATGCAGAAAGCCAAGTTTTTTTCCAAGCCTGCCCTTCCCAATTATAATACACGCTTCTTCCATCTATGAAAAAACTCTTCCAAACAAAAAATTTCCCAATCTATACAGACAGATTAATCCATACAGACAGCTTTATCCATAAAGGACTTAATGGAAAACCAACCAAACTGCCCCTTAATTATCCATATAGCACCACAATGAGATAATAGCATGGTGAGTCATTGAATGCAGCGAACTTCGAACAGCATCGTAAGATACAAGTGATTAACTCGACAAAATCGACTCAGTAAATGGGAGCAAGCAACTAGCAAGATTCTTATTAGATCGTATAACCCAGATAAATCATGAATTAAACCTGCAAATAGCTTACCTGAAGTAACAGTGCAAGACAAGTAGGATTGAATTCTTCCTCGAAAGTTCATGACCTACTGACGGGATCTAAACTTTCATTGTATGCTGTCTTGTTTTCTTCGCTACTTTTCTTTCATACAAAAGATTATAACTGAAACTAAACCAAACCAAACGGACCTAGTATATTCCACTCGAAAGTAGGGTCTGGGAGGGGTAGGATGTACGTAGACCTTAGCTCAACCACTAGGACCAAGAGGCTGTTCCTATAACAGATTAAATGAAGGAGAATTTCTTACGAGTTTAGGTGGATTAGGTTGAGATCTTCTGGTTGGTCTTTCCTATCCTCTATACTTCTGTTTTCTTTTTGTTGTTTTTGCTATTCGTTTCTTTGTTTGCCAACTTCAATGTGTTTGGAATTGTAATTAACCCTATATATATACTTGTAGTTGGATCCTGAGCTTGAATTTGATCGTGAGGTGTATCCTCTTGGTTTGCTTCCAAATGCTGGAATTGTAGTTGGCATTACCCAAAGATTATCATTTTCAGCATGCTCGGAGTTTCCATGTTTCGAGCCATCTCCTCAAGCTCAAACTATACTACATTGCCTACTCCGGCACCTTCTTCAGGTACCGTGCGGTCTAACGCTTTCAAATTTCCCCTCACTGTCAATAATTAGTGAAATTTAAAAAAAAGTTGGTTTATGATTAGTTGGTCTATAAAGGAAGAGGATAGTATCCTGCGGTTTGGCAGTATATATCCAAATGGTACAGCATCAAGGTTAGTTGTTTGTTTGAGATTGACTTATTTTTTGTTTCTTATCCTGTACAGAGAGATAAGAGTGAAGAAGCTTTACAACTAGCTCGATTATCGGAGGAGAAGCCTCATTTTTCCCATTGTTTAGAGTGGCTTCTTTTTACTGTTTTTGAAGCTGAAATTTCCAGGTAATTCTGATACCGGAAACTACATGTTCCCAATTCCCATGTATACTTATTTGGTTACTTCTGCAAGCTTGATGTAAAGCGGAAACAATTATTCCTTCATTGATCCAATAGTTGGTCCGTGGCTTGATTGAGCATCGTTAATTCATTATGGGTGACCATAAATATAAATTAATTTACCTAACTTGAATCTCCATTACCTAACCATATTAAAAATATAGCAATTTTTAAAATTGGGATGAATGTTTTAGTTCCTCAATTGCATTATGAGAAATCATATTTTACACTACTCATGTTATTGCCATAAATATTTCAATACTTACGCACAAATGAATTGCATCTTATCCCTAAATTTCGATGTTAAGATAATCTCGCTTTTCTTATTGAAACTTTCTTTGACTGCCAAAATGCAAACAGTAACCAGAAACCAGTTCCTACGGCTAACAATCCTTCTCTCCTGGAGAAAACCTGTGATCTAATAAAGAAATTTCCGGAGTATTTTGACGTTGTTGTTAGTGTGGCAAGAAAGACTGATGGTCGACATTGGGCAGATTTGTTTTCTGCTGCTGGAAGATCAACGGAGTAAGTTTTTCCTCCCCATAACTTTTATGCCAGCTTTACTTCTGGAGGTTCAAACGAGAACACTAGCATTTTACGAAAATGCGAGAACACCCATATCACATGTGATATATTGTATGGGGACAAAATAGTGTGCGTGTAACGGGCCCGCGACCTAGGTCGCCCTTGTCCATCAGTGTGTATCATTTTGTTATCACATGTGATGGTTGCCTGGTTCAGGTGTTCTTGCGTTTTCGTAAAATATATATATATATATATATATATAGAGAGAGAGAGAGAGAGAGAGAGAGTTGGGATCATTTGAGACAAGGCAGTTTTCGTCAGACCATCAAGATACATTGTGAGCCCTTGGATGAGTTTTTTATCTCGCCGAACCTTAACATGAAAACAACCAAACCTTCAGTGTCTCACGGTCTTACGGGAAGTGGTTAGTCTCACAGGAACCCAGCCATATATATTTGGATTTTTGAATCAGTAATGTCTTAATTCGCCAACCATGTAATTGGATGAGGACTTCCTATGGAGGAATTATTGAGAGATGTAATATATTTAAACTTTTTTCATCCTTTAAGGTTGTTTGAAGAATGCTTCCAGAGGAGATGGTATCAAACCGCAGCTTGCTATATACTTGTAAGTGATGAAGTGATTATCTTTAGAAGTATTTAACACTTTCGATTCGTAACTCTATTGGATCTCTACCACCCCATGTATGTGTAGGTGTGTTTATTGTCATACGGTTTATTCTATATCGTTCAGTGTTGCCAATCGTTTAAATTTGGCTGACTTCGACAATAGAAATTTTTACGTGCTTGATGAAGTTTGATTATGCCTTGTCTTGTTTCTACCTTTTAATGTTTTAGGTTATTGCGAAACTCGAAGGAGCACCTGTCAGTCAATACTGTGCTCTGCGCTTGTTACAGGTAATTTGCATGCTGATAGATTCTTTAAGAGTCCCACGTCGGGTAGACTTGACCATTTTCCTCTATATATGTTGGAACGTCCCTCTCTCCACCCCCAAGGTCCAGCCTCTGCTGGAGGGGGCTTGTTAGCGCCCCACATCGGCTAGACTTGACCATTTCTCTTTTTATATATGTTGGAACCTACCTTCTCTTGAGAGCTCTTTTGGAGAGTAATTATGGGGTTCCATATATTCTTACATGGTATTTGACCCAAGGTCTAGCACTCTAGGGACTCGACACTTTGGAGCAATCTATACTTGTCTAGCCCCCTCTCGAGACTCGGACAATCTGTACCCTTTTAGCCTTTGTTGGAGGGGATGTGTTAGAGTCCCACATCGGGTTAAGACGTGGACCATTTTCTCCTCTATATATGTTGGAACCTCCCTTCTCTCCTCGAGGTTTCTTTTGGAGATTAATCTCGGGGTTCCACATATTCTAATAGATTCCATAATTGCTCTCTCTCTCTCTCTCTCTCTCTCTCTCTCTCTCTCTCTCTCTCTCTCGTGATCTGAACTGAAGGCTCGTGCAGGCAACACTGGATGAATCATTATACGAACTTGCTGGGGAACTGGTACGTGTTGGAGGGTAAGATGGTCAATACCTTAAATGTTGCACGACCAATGATGGCTTCTTCTGCTTCTTACCCAGGTGAGATTTCTGATGAGATCCGGAAGGGAATATGAACCTGCAACAACAGATTCGGATAAACTATCTCCTAGATTTCTAGGCTATTTTCTTTTCCCTTCTAGTTATAGGAAACAGTCTATGGAGGCAAGAAGGTAAACTATTCTCTAATTTCCATGTGATTCCTTATGCTAACATCGCTCTCAAGAATGTCACATATTTGTCTTTTTTACGAAACAGCCCTTCATTTAAAGAGCAGAATGCTCATGTTGCTTCTGTGAAGAATATTCTGGAAAGTCATGCTAGCTATTTGATGTCTGGGAAAGAACTCTCCAAGCTTGTTGCATTTGTGAAAGGCACCCAATTCGATCTAGTGGTAAGAGAAGGCTTTTCTAATCTCCCATGCTTTGTGAGTATATAGTATATTCTTATTTTGTTATTCAACTATAAATTCTACTGGCAGGAATATCTACAACGCGAAAAATATGGAAGTGCTCGTTTGGAGAATTTTGCTTCTGGACTCGAATTAATAAGTCAGAAGGTATTCTTTGCATTACCGTGTTAAGGAAAAGATCAAATGAGAACCATAATAATTTGAGAATCAATATATGTATCGGTGCATATACACGATATGAATTTCAGCAAGTGTGCATTAATGCATATATATACTTGCATATATAGTACATACGCATTGATGAATATACTGACCGACAGAATATATTTTGATGGTGTATATGCATCAATGAATATCTGTATATATATATATATATATATATAGGGTTGCTTTCCAGTGTGAAGGAGAGTTAAGGTGAGAAGCGTAAGAAGGGATCTCCACCCTTGGATGCACATTAGGATGAGATGCATGGAGATAAGATGCACCAGATTAATCCCCATATCAAGCGCGGTTCATGGGTGGTTTGAGATTAAAGGTGATCAAGGGTATAGGTCCCTTCTTATGCTTCTCATCTTAACTTTCCTTCTCACACGATCCTTCTCCTGTACATACACACACACATATATATACACACACACACATACATATATATATATATATATATATATATATATATATATATATATAGGGATGGTTCAAACTAGAACACCATCATTTTACAAAAACGAGAGGATACCCATGTCACATGTGATACTATAATCCATCACATGTGATACTAAATTAGAGACACGGACGGACGACCTTTGGCACCAGGTTCACTCACGTATATTATCATATGCGATAAAGACGTTCTCACATAGGGCCGTACCTGGGGGAGGGCGGGCCAGGTGTACGCCCAGGGCCCACAAGAAATAGGGTCCCAAAATTTTATAGTATACTATATAGTAATAGTCAAAAAAATTAATAAATAAAAGAGAGACAAATTTTTTAGTATCTAATAGGACCCAAAAAGAATTTTGTATTATATTAAAGGTCCAAACATGTATTAATTAATTACATTGAAAAAGAAAATATGAAAAAAGTTGACTAATCTGTTCATTTTATAGGCTTACTGCTTCTATAAGTTCTTTATCTAATACGAAAGTCTAAAACTACTTGTTTATGGAGCCTTGATATATTTTCCATCGTTCATCTCCCATTGACTTTTTTATTATTCCATTCGTATGGATTCTATTTTTGCTTTAGAATATAGTAGATTTCTTGTTATTAATTAAGAAAGCTCTTACATTTGGAAAAAAATTGCCAACCATATGAGAGGTCCAACTTATATCCATATTTAAGGTTCAAAACTACCCTTTGGTTTTTCATACATTATTGACTTCTTATTACCTAATATTGATAGTACACATCTTTAGCATTTTCCTATCTCTAAAGTCTAAAACAAGAATAAGATCTCAAGTTATAACCAACGTGGGTTTTTGATTCCAAGATTGTTGGTTCCGATTTTTTTTGTCATAAACCTAAAAGTTTAAAACGGTGCTGAAAAACATTAACTTGACCTGAGATGGAAAGTAACTGATTTATATTGATTTACATAGAGTGTTACTCCACATAATGTCAAGCTATATATTAAAGTTATATGATATTATGTTTTTTATGGTGGAACGGATTGACAATGTTATATAAAAATGATATGGTAGATAATATTAATTTAAAAATATTTGTTGATTGATTTTGCGTCTAGGAATGCTCTATTAAAACGGTTTTGTATGAATTATTAGTATTTCTTGAATTCAATGTTATTTCTAATTATAAAAAAGGTATACTCCCTCGTCTCAAAATAAATGTCTGCAAATAAAATGGCACACGGTTTTAGACATGCATAATTATTACACTTTTTGGATAACCAAATGACATCTTTACCCTTATTTAATTTCTTTCTATTCACAACTCTTAAATATTTATGAATTAATTAAGGGTAAATTTGAGATTTTGTTTATTTACTTTTTAAAGTGGACACTTGTCTTGGGACAAATATAAATAGAAATGTAGACGGAGGGAGTATTAAAGATTCTTTTTGTACTTATCGAGGGCCCCTTTTTATATCTCGCCCAGGTCCTATAAGATGTTAGGATCAAGCTTGTTCTCATGTTTTCGTAAAATGGTTGTGTTCTTATTTCAACCTCCACCTATATCTATATATAGAGAGAGATAGAGAGAGAGAGAGAGTGAGGTTTGAAGATGCTTCCTGGTTTCTGTACGGTAGGCACATGTGGATACAAGTAATTGAAGATGTTTCCTGGTTTCTATGCACGTGTGCATGTTATGCACAGTGCATACTGGAAAAATTACTTACAAATTACTTGTATGCACATGTGCATACTCTACAGATGAATGGTTACTAGGGTGTTCCTTAGTTTTTCAAATTTTTTTTTTTTGTAGTTTTCCCCTGAACCTGACCTTACACACACATACACACACTCACATATATATATATATATATATATTATAATATTTAGACGAAGGATCGTGTGAGAATGGAAGTTAGTGAGAAACGTAAGAAGGGAAGTTATGGTGAGAAGGGAAGTTACTGGGCTTGTTTGTTTGTGTTTGGTACTATCTTGACCAAGAACATGATAATGCTTCACGATGATCTTTTGTGTAAATCATATTTTGAAATTTTACTCTTTATTTTCAGCTTCAAATGGGAACCTTGCAAAGCCGGTTGGATGCAGAATTCCTCTTGTCTCACATGTGCTCAGTCAAGTTTAAAGAGTGGATCGTAGTTTTGGCAACTCTTTTAAGGCGATCTGAGGTATGATATCTGTGTGAATATATTTGTTAGTAACCGCCCCAATCAACCATTGGATCTAAAAAAATAGACGGTCTATATTAGAAAGCAACCGCCCCCCTATATCATGGATTTAGTTTTAGCAAAATGTATCTGCCCCTATTATTCACAACCGTTGGATTAAAATAGATGGATGGCTCGGATGGGTTTCTTTGTTCTCTTTTTAGTGTTCTCTTCTTAAATCCACCCCTAGTTGCCTATGCATAAAATAAATCCAAACAAATATATATATATATATATATATATATATATATATACACATATGTATGTATGCAAAAAGGAGACAGAAACTTGCACCCATTCCCCACGGTGGCCTTATTACCTCTCTTTTCGGTAGGATTTGAAGAATGCTTAATTCTTATCGGACTCAAGTTATACTGATACTAGTCGAATTAGATCTATCTGTATCCATCTAGTGCAATTTATCCACCAAGATTGCCACTTGGATGATATTTAAAGAATGTTGCTCCCTCGTCTCCGACTCCTGCAAATTGCGAACTTTTCTGTTTTTGGAAAAGGCAATTTGCCCAAAAGCAATGCATTTCGGTCTGATTTCTATTTTGTGTAACGTACTTTTAGAACCTTCATTTTGGTACCTCAAATGTGATATCTCAAACATTTAGACCAAAAATGTTGCATTTTCATGCATTCATAGATGTAAACCAGGTACCTAAACTTGTGAGATGTCACATTTGAAGTGTCCCAAAATGAAGGTTTTGAAAATACAGTTACACAAAATAGGGAATCAGACCAAAGTACATTGTATTTTCATGCAATTTGCCCTTTGGAAAAATTTCAATTTACAACCACCAATTTTTATGCTATTGATTTGAGTCGGCAACGTCACCTTATTTTGTCATCATTAAAGGTTACGTTGACTAAGGGTCAAACGCTTTCGTAATACCATGTACAAGGTCGAATGTCAAGTTTATTGTCCATTTGGTTGCAACCCTTTTGTAAACATTTCATAACAAGTACCCAAATGATTATATATTACAAGATCAGCATGTTAGCGGTCAAAATGGGTACAAAATAGAATATTTTGAAACTTTGTTACATTGATCGAGAAAAAAAAAGAAACTAAACCGAACTCTGTTGCATTTTGATTCATTATATCCGTTTTAAGAATATGGTTCATATTTCCCCCCGTGATTTCGGTACAGGTTCTCATTGATTTATTTCGTCATGATATGCGGCTCTGGAAAGCATATAGTGCAACGCTGCAGGTATGTCTCTTAATCTTCAGTTTTATCGTTTATCAATACGTAGATTCCTCGTTAATGTAACGTACACTCGTCAGTCACATCCATCATTTTCCGAATACCACGATTTGCTCGGAGCCTTGGGCGAGAAGCTTTCATCGAACGAAATTACCGAAGAGACCTGATGGGAACGCACACAATTATCGAACCCCTGAAAAGCTCAACAAGATATTCAGCCAAAAAGGAGATGTTTTTAGCCGAAGAAATCCGTGTTAAATATGGCCATATATCAACGAGTCTGAGAGTGCCCCGTTTCTATCGCTTGAAACTTGTTGGTGAGCGGTTTTTCCCATTTGGTCATTGTTTAGCTTGTTCCGTGTTTTTCACTAGTTGTATCATTTTGTATTTCTCTTCGGTTTTAATTGGTTTTCTGACCGTGAGAAAAGCCGTGGGGTGGGTGGGTTCTGAAGACCGGAAGTTGAAGAAATAATATTCGTACATGTAGTTTTTCGGGTGATCATCTAATGTATATATATATGACGGATTCTTCAAAACTATGCAATTATCGATCTTTTGTGCAAACACACGCACGATGCTTTTATTGTAGCGTAAAAAGCAGGAAGATATTATCTGTGAGCCAACTCAACTGTCAAATAAATAGGTCACTGGTTCGAGTCTCATCAGGGATATTGGGGATTTCTCTAGTTATTTTCTTTAGGACCCTATGAGATTAGTCGAGGTGCATGCGAGTTTGGTTCGGACTCCCATGGTCACCAAGGAGGCGGTTAATCCCATTCTACAGTGGATATCTTAGCTGCTATAGCAGTTTCTGTAAGGATGTCCACCTTCTAATTGCTGTTATAAAAGTTAAAACCACCATGGCTCCTCTTTTCTTAAGAATCCTTACGTCCGTTATTAGTGTAACCATAAACGATGGATAGTAGGTGTTGTGCGTATCGACCTGTGCAATGTTGTAGTTAACGCGTTAAGTATCCCGCCTTTTCGATTCACTCGTGGGATCCGGGCGGTCTCATCTTCATCATACTTCGTTGTCTTCCAAAGAAAATTGAAAGAATTAGGCCAAAAGTTAGGATTATTTTTATGAATCTATCTGATTTATTTTCACCAAGTGAAACGTACGGACTCGAACCGAAGATTCTTCACCAAGATGAACATATCTGTGCAACCTTCATGTTTCATCTACTTGATCTTTTTTGCACTCCATAATGGTAGTTGCAAGACAGCAAAAACCAAAGGTAAAGTCTGTATGCATCCTACTTTCCAGACCCTCTAGTTGAGTGGATTTATTTGGTTTGGTTTACTCTTACACATTTTTTGAAGAGATTTATGCATCCGTGGACTCACGCGAACCATGTAGCTCGAGTAGAGGTGGGAAAATGTGCCTGAAGCCCAGAACTGGCTTGGGACTGTAACTGATTAGAACCGGTTAGAAGAGGCCTGAGACCGGTTACGGAAAGTCCACCCGGTTACTACGGTTATGGTTTTTTGAACTTGGAATGGTTAAGAGGCTGACTACAAGGCATGGTCCAAGGACCGATTACCTTTTCTTGGACCATTTTGCCCTTCTGCTTGAATATAAGCTGGTGTTAGAGTTGTTGATTTATTTACACCGATCAAAATAAGCAATTGTTCGTGGTCTTGAAGCCGAATTTTTCGTGTTTTAGTAATTAGTAAATAAATCATAGATAGTTTAAAAATAAGTTTATTTGAAACACATTTTTTTTACTTTATCTCAAATATTAAAACATGAAAAAATGAAGAAAAAAAAATTAATTAATTGGACCAAACAGCTAGGAACCGGTTATGGGCCCGTTTATAATAGATTATACCACTTAGAGTCTTTTTTTAAAGATCGAGACCGGCTACGACTAGAACTGGTTGTCGAAAGACCAGCAAGGATTGGAACCGACTAGAAACCCGTTCAATCCCAAATTTTTGCCCACCTCTAATCTTGAGCGAGATATGGCTCTTTCGAGTGATTGATATTTGATCCATCTAAATCATGGCCTAAGCCTCGATTCCTGGTGTAAAAGCTGAAGAGGAGTGGTAACACGTTTAAGATTGACCTAACTTTAACCACTTTTATATCGATTTACTTTACTATCGATTTTGCATTTCAAAATAATTTGTTTCATTATCGGCATTCGACAGTAAATTACGGGTTTGTTTCCACAATTCATTTATCATACAAAAAAACCTTGAGAAAACGTTTTTGTTTTGGTTTTCGACTCTGTTGCTAACTCCGTCAATCATTCACTGTTAGAATGAATCACGACAAACAAGGGCAAATTTGTCATTTTATTTCGACTCTCTCAATATTTTAACTTGTTTCATATTTTGGGTAACGTACTTCAAAACTTCTATTTTGGTATCAAAGATGTAAAATTTTAATCATGTCTTATGTGTCTTACAAAAACAGTCTTGTCTCACGTGAACCTAGCCCTATATATAAGACTAGGTTCACGTGAGTCACTTGAGACATGATTTTTTTTCTTGAAACTTCACAATAAATGTTGTGAAGGTAAAAAAAAAAGCCGAAACTTCACAGCAAAAACTTTGTGAAGGTTACATTCATAGTGTTTTGCTGCAAAGTTTCCAAGTGCAAAAATCATGTCTCACGTGTCTCATAAAAACGTCTTATCTCACATGATCCCAAGTATGTATGTATGTRTATATATATATATATATATATATATAGAGAGAGAGAGAGAGAGAGAGAGAGAGAGAGAGAGACTTGGGATCATGTGAGACCAACCTGTTTTCATGAGACCATGAGACCACTTTTTTACACTTGAAACTTCACAGTAAAATGCTGTGAAGGTAACCTTCACAGTGTTTTTGCTGTGAAGGTTTGAATTTTTTTTACCTTCACAGTGTTTTTGCTGTGAAGGTTTGGATTTTTTTTACCTTCACAACGTTTTTGCTGTGAAGTTTCAAGTGTTAAAAGATGGTCTCACGGGTCTCACGCAAACAGACTGGTCTCACGTGAACCCAACCCTATATATATATATATATATATATATACACACACACACACATTTTTTGGGAAGTTCTCCAAATTTGGAGAATTTCACTCTCTCATACCTCTTCATTTTGAAAAATCTATTGGAGGTGCTCTTATAACGTTTTTTATTTGAATTTCTGTTACCGAAATAACAAAGTTAAGTATTTTATCAGAAGCAATCAGACCATCATTCAACAACAGTTACCATAAAAAGAACCATTTATTTATACGTTTCAAGTTTACAAACAAAAGGGGAAATACCCGAATCATTCTTTTCACTTTATACACAAGAAACACACATTTCCATTCTCGAAACCCTAAAACAAATACAAAATCAAACCCTCAACCTTAAAACGACGCTCGTTGTCGTCAGTACGAAAAATAACTGCTTTTTAAACACGTATATGAAAAATCTCAATCACCAACTAAAACTTATGGACTCAAAATGCAAGTTTGAAGCCAACCCTGAGGAACATATGTTTGCAACTTCATGTCTCATCTTCTTTGGCCCACAAACAAGAACTCCAACACTTGATTCCTTTTGCTCAAACAACATTCCTACAAACAAAAGGTTTTCACAAGTATCAGGGGCTGTTTGGCAATTGCTGAATGATTTGGTGCAGAATGATTAAGTGTTCAGAATGATTAAGAGACTCTCATGATATAGTGCAAAATGAAATATAATTGTTTGGTAATTGTGTACAATAAAATCAAGGCTCTTAATGGTTAAGGGAGATTCATGATACAAAATCATTCAGAAGGTTTTAGGTTTTTTTTTACCAAACAAGATTCACCTCTTAATGGTTCAGATGTTGCCTTTTAATGGAACTATTAAGAGATAAACAAACAACCCCTTAGTAATGTACAAGTTTTAATGCATGAAGTACAACATTCTTTTTACCATTTTCTAGATCGAAAATCGATAAATCCAGAGCAATGTACAAGTTTTAATGCACGAGGTACACATTGTTGTGACCACATTGGTTTGGATTCAGTACTAATTGTTCTGGAATGCAAAGATCTAAGCGTCATATGATTCTGTGTAGGGGTGTTAGCGATCCAGTTGGGACAATTTAACCCCCCCAACTGTAAAATAAACTACAGTGGTTGTTTAATTTTTTTTTTCCAAACTGAGCGGTTTGACATCAAGTGACCAAACTGGTTAAACCGGATCATAAAAAGATGGTCTGATCTGACTGATTTAGACAGTTTGGGACTATTTATGGGATTTGAACTAAAAAACCATAAAAGTTGGCCTACAACCGGGAAATTTTTTTTGTGTGTGTGAGAGAGACGTTCAGTTTGATCCAACCCGTTAAAAACGTCCAAACCGTAGACTAAACGAAGTGCTAGACCGCTCATATCGCCAAAAACGGTCGAGCTTGACTTGGTTCGACAGGTTTGAATTGAACACCCTATTTCCACCATATATTTTTTAAAAGAGGATTGATATAAAGATACAAAGCGTTGCTTTATAGTTTTTAGGAGGATTGGGTTCACGTGAGACCAGCCTATTTCCGTGAGACCACTTTTTTACACTTGAAACTTCACAGCAAAACGTTGTGAAAGTAGGAAAAAGTCGAACCTTCACAGCAAAAACAATGTGAAGGTTACCTTCATAGCTTTTTGCTGTGAAATTTCAAGTGTAAAAAAGTGGTCTCACGAAAACAGGTTGGTCTCACGTGATCCTAGGTCCTTTAGGGAATGTTAAGACGAACTTACTCTTAAGGTCCGGCCTTTCACCAAAATGTACGTTTGTAGACTGAAAGATCGATTGTTGGGGAAGGCTTTCGAGTTCTCGGTCCATGTTAAACAATAAACCAGGCGAGCTGACGGGTGTCGTATCCGTGTTTTGAATTTGCGTTGATTCCATCGCGCTTTTATTCTTGTTCCACCAAAAACCCGCACTACACGTCACCATTATCGAGACACAAATGAGCAACATATTCAACGCACCCCTAGATCCATACGAGTACACATCGTACGTGTTTTTATCAATCGGGTAGATGTAGAATCTCGTTACAAGTCCCATGGATAGAAGGAAAACCACGAAAGAACATGAAATAATTGCGGCGAGCCATAACCATCCGTTCGGTCCTAAAATTGGCGTTATCGGCCCATCAGAGGATTTTGGTTTGAGCCAAATGGTCCTCACGGGTTTCTTATCGTTGGTCGTGGTTCCGTTCTCTCTTGTCACGTAGGCCTCGATTTGTAGCTCAAGTTTCGAAAACTCTATAGGTGAACCAGATGTCGGTAAGAGCAATTCTAGCATCGTTAGATCAGAAGAGTCTTTGAACGCGCTTATCAAGAGAATTTTCGGAGCTTTCGATTTGAGGATCTCGGTGGTGAAAACGAGCTCTCTGAAGATCGAGATGAACGGCGTTATCCCACTTCCTCCGCTCACCATCACCAACATATCGTGCCTGTGGATTGTAACTTGATTTAGCATACACCGATTAAACGTAGCTAAAATTTGTCACTACAACAAAACAGGGTTTATATGACGTCTAAAATGTCTAAATGTCTTGATAGAACGTTTTATAAGACACTAAGGGGTCGTTTATTAAACGCTTACCCCAGTAAGTGCTAACCGTTAAAATTCAATACTATCACTTATTTACCGGGTAAGATTTTAGTCTACTAAAACGACATTGTATGCAACAATTTACTAAATGCTAACTGTGGTAAGAGTCGTCGCGCTCACTTACCCGGTAAGACTCTTGTTCTTTTTCTCGCTTTTACCGGGTAAGATTCTTGGTCCTTATCATATTCATCCGGTAAGGTAATGTGACTTATAAGCGCTTACCCGAGTAAGCGTTTGGTAAACGGCCCTAAGTTTATAGGACCAAACAATAAAATGTCATATCTAAAAATGTTACAATAAGTTTATATGACTTTTTTTTAGCTTTTTAACAAGTTTTCAGATAAAATGTCAGTGTCTTATAAAAAGATGGGTTTATAAGACACTTCTGAAAAGTGTGATATAAAATAACTGATACGACATTTTAATTCAGAAATATCCTGAAACACTTTTTGACAAGACCTTTTTTATTGGTTTATCTTATAAACTCAAGTTCTATAAAACATTTTTTTTGAAGTATATAATATTTATATACAGTAAATGCAACAAATAAACTCACACACCCTCCTCACATACGGTGAGGTTTGAACCCCTGACCTCCTAGAAGGCCAAGGTCTACTATACCGCTAGGTCAAAGGCCCTTTGGTTCTATAAAATATTTTATTGTGACACTTGGACATTTTAGGCGTCCTATAAACCCAATTTTCGTACAGTATTTTTACCTCAGGAAATTTGTCGAGACGGGTCCGTAAGGTCCTTCAACGGAGATATCGAGTTGATCAATCGGGTTTGAGGACGATAGCGTTCGGTAGAGCTTCTTAGACCAAGTTCCTTCACCTTTGATCATAACACTTAGCTTCTCATTCTCCAAATTGCTACTTGAAGTAATTGTGAATGGATGCCATTGAGCCTTTGAAATGCTCGGGATATTGACGAATATGATGCTCGTCGGAGTGTAATTCAAACCTACGTAAACGGAAACGCAACAACCGTTATCAATTAAAACGTTTACAGTACAAATTCTTACAGTATCTATCTTCTGTTGTTGTTGCTATTTAACACACTACAACAAAACTGATTTTACAGTCTAAAATGTAGAAGCGTCATAATTTTTTTTATAGGACTTAAGTTTATAGGACCAAACAAAAAAGTGTCATATCTGAAAGTGTTATAATAGGTTTGTAGGACGCTTTTAGGCGTTTTAACAAAAAAATTGGAACGTTTTTAAAATAAAGTGTCGTATTAACTATTTTATATGAAAATATTTGAAACATGGTTCTATAAACACAAGTGTTATATAAAAAGATGGATTTATAAGACACTTCACTAAATTGTCTTATAAAATAGCTAATATGACACTTTATTTTAAGAACGTTCTAAAAGACCTGTTAAAACGCTTAAAAGCGTTCTATAAACCTATTGTAACACTTTTAGATAAGACGTTTTATACTTTGGTCCTATAAACATAAGTTCTACAGGAACGGACCCATACGTGCCACCGTATTATTCCTCCGTCGAAGGGTAAAAAAATTAAGTTCGTGAAATGTGCAACCGTATTAATTTGTTGTGTGTCACCGTATGTATTTTGAAACTACAATGAAAACAAGTTTTATTTGGTAGAGTTGGTTTGCAAGGCTTTTATTCCGCCTCCAACCCACGTTCAAATCCTGTTAGGGTCATTTTCTTAGTCAAATTGTGCCACTGTCTGAAAAAAAATTCCGTATATTTGTTTCTTATAGTCAAACGGTGCCACCGCTTGAAATATTTTCTCTATATTTTTTTCTTATAGTCAAATGGTGCCACTGTTTGAAAAAATTTATGGGTCCGTCCCTGTTTTAAAGTATTCTATTAGGACGTTTGAACAATCTAGGCGTCCTATAAATCCAATTTTGTTGTAGTAACAGTACCTTGGCTTTTGGCGAAGCTGAGCTCGAGAGTTTCACATGGAAGAACACGACTAGAAATCAGACGGATGTTTCTCCTTGATTGCAGGAATCGCAAAAACCGATCGATCAAGAAGAGGAAGAAACCGGGAAGCATCATCGAGGCGTAAGATATGCCGACATGAAACACGAAGAAGATGACGAAGATGACGTAGAAGTGGTGAGCGTAGAAGAAAACCTCAAACATCTTTCGTCTAATCCTAGGAAACGTCGTTGCCCACATAATTAATCCCGCCACCAATGATATCTCTCCAGCTACAACCGATATGTCGATTTTCGCCCATTTCAGCATCTGAATTCAATATCAAAACCGAAACCGTTATAACACGATAATAATATCACATAAATTACTATTATGCCCTTCAATCCAAAAGCATGTAGTAACTCCATGACACATCTATGTGTAACTTGTTTCATCATATGTATTGCAAAATTACTATTATGCCCTTGGTCCTGCAAATATTTGGGACCTTCAAAAAGTGTTTTGTGTATGGGGGGTCTCAAGTTGACAAAAATTGACCAATTGGTCAATTATTTGGACCATAACGAGAGTTGACTTTTGTTGACAAAAATATTCTATACAATATGCACTTCATCCTATGATCTTCCAACTTCATTGGTGGAATATTTCCAGCAATTCTCAGCCGTACACGTGTCAATAAGTTTAAAAATTTGGCACCACCACTAAAAATAAAACTCTTTATAACGAAAAGGACTATCAAAAAGGGTATATTCGACTTTCGACATTTTAATATACGAATTAGGGTGGAAAAAAAATCTCGGTCCATTTAATTAACAGGTTGAGTTAAGAAAATCGTAATCAGGTCAATCGGTTGTCAACCCATTAAGGTAATAAGTTGGGTTGGGTTGAAAAATCTTAGCCTATTTAATAAATGGGTTGTGTTAGGTTGAAATTTTCAACCTGTTTAATAAATGGATTGAACCAGAACCCAACCCGACCTGACTCATTGTCACCCCTAGATTAATTATCAAGCAACCGTATGATACCTCTGATGTCTGTTTCGTTATGATCCATAAGATCACGTAACAGACGCCGTGAGAAGTGAAGAGGGTCATAACGATATGCCCAAGCCATATGTGATACTTGATGCTGGCTTCGGAAGTCAGCCCGAACAACGGCAATATAGACGAGCCACGAGTCACTGGGAAGAACAGAAACGCTAAACATATATTACCAACTAGCCCGAATTGTAGTGCCACTGAAGCCAACTTTGACTCCCAACTGTTATTAAAAACAACCGTCAGATTAAGGGGCCGTTTACCAAATGCTTATTCGGATAAACGCTTATTAAGTCACATTTCCTTACCAGATGAATATAGCAAGAACCAAAAATCTTACCCGGTAAGTAAGTGATGGCGACGACTCTTACCATGGTTAGCGCTTATCGGATAAATTGTTACATATGATGTCGTTTTGACAGACTAAAATCTTACCCGATAAGTAAGAGATAAAGTTGAAATTTACCGTTAAGCGCTTACCGGGTAAGTCAAGCAAAAGTCAAAAGGGGATATATTAAGATACGTACACTGTCTCTCCGTATAACGCTGCCGACTGAGGGGTAATTTTGGCAAAACTAAGATGTACGTACGTCACGAACGACCAGACAAGTAGAACGATAAACATGAAAAAGAAAGCGATCTCGATCTTCGTTACGATCCCGAGACCTTTGATGATCATTGGCCTTCTCCATATATTCAAGTTATCGTTGGTAGCTTCTTTTTCTCTAATAAATTAAAGAAATAATTTAAAACTAATTCATTTGGATATAAGAATTATCACACAAATTCTAACTAAAATGACTATTTTACCCTTCGTCACGATTCCCGTTCGCCTTCTTCCGTAAATGGAGATATACAGCCCCTACGACGGCCATGAATAAAACGGGCAACGTGTAGAGCGACATCGTTGGACCTGAAAACACATATTTTGAAGACATAAAAACAACAGAATCATCGTATCGTGTAAAAACGTGACTTTTAGGGTAACAGAGTCGGGCTAACAAATTTTTTAAGGTAAAAAGCGGCTAGTCCGACTCGGTTATAACCCTAGTGAAAAAAGAACGATGGTTCGAAGAGGTCGAACCGGACCTTGAGTTCCAAAGTAAGTGGTTTTTGTATGGGCTCGAACCCGAACGAGCCATGTTTGCTTAAAGACATAGGTTGGTGTGATCACCCATAGGAAAAGGTAGCCTATAAACACCAACATTATGAACCATTTGACCATCTTCATTCTTATTCTCTCTCTCTCTAGATTTCTTTCTCTCTCTAGATTTTTATGTTGGAGGTTGCTTGAAGAATGAAGAGTGAGAGGGGTATTTATGGGAAGAAATTGAGAGATAGTTGGAGATTGAGGCATGATGTGAAAAGGGCAAATTTGGAAATGCACAATATTGTAATGTTTTATATATGTTTGTTAGTTTGTATGTGTCACATATAGATATAGAAATGTAGAATTGGGATCAAGTGAGAGCAGTATGTTTTTGTGGGATCCTTGAAACTTCAGAGTAAAAAACTGTGAAGGTAACTTTCATAGTGTTTTTGTTGTTAAAGTTTGGAGTTTTTTTTACCTTCACAACGTTTTGCTGTGACGTTTCAAGTGTAAAATATGGTCTCACGAAAACAGATTGGTCTCACGTGAACCCAACGCTAGATATGTGTATATATATATATATATACATACATATAATCATTTATAAATTCGATAAATCTTATAAATAAGTTTTCATGTATTATTTCATATAACAAACAACACGTCTGCAAAATGTAGTTTTTTATATAGTTTTGTTTCATATGTGAAACGTTCATGAATGTTACTGTTTTGCTTGTGGAAAAAAAATAGTCTTGAACATTTCACATGTGAAACAATACTGCATTTTCACACGTTCTTTTTCATATGTGAAACAACACATTATAAACGGTTTGTAAGTTTTGACGAATTTTGTTGGCGGGTATCATTGTTTGGAATGAAAGTCAAATACGATGATTCGTAACACATATTTTTAAAGTACTTAATTATTGAAAGTTGCAACGTTTACGTTGTACATAGTTTTCGAATTAAATACCCAAAATATCCTCGAACAAAATCTTGTAAACCCGTATAAGTAATTACAATCAGTAATTTAACTTGAAAAAAAGTCAAAAGGAAACGTTGGAATTTACAAACAAATCAAACCTAGCTTGAGGGTTCGTTCATGTGAGACCAGTCTGTTTTTTGAGACCCCTGAGATTACTTTTTTATACTTGAAACTTCACAACAAAATGCTGTGAAGGTAAAAAAACCGAATTTTCACAGCAAAACACTGTGAAGTTTACCTTCATAGCGTTTTGCTATGAAGTTTCAAGTGTAAATAAGTGGTCTCACGAAAACAGGCTGGTCTTACGTGATCCAAATCCCTACCTTGAAATTATGTATTAGTAAGTTATACAATACAAGTCTTTAATGCACATAAAACTAGATTTAAAATGGAAGCATGATTCATGTGAAAATAAAAAGAGAATTTAAGTTCATTCTGCTGTTAGGGTTATATGATGTCATGTGGGATATATATATATATAGTTTGCAACCCATCGCATTTGTACAACCAATGTAATGTAATAAATTGAGATGTTTATGGAAATGATGAGAGTTCATTTATTATGATTTGAATATTTATGGAAGATAATAGAGTCCATTAATTATATAGAGATGGGTTATTATACAACTCAATCTCAACCGTCCATTTAATTTGATGAATATGTGATTTCATAAAAATTTTGATTGTTTTCTAATATAAAGTATTGATCATAATTAATGAACTATGTTCATCTTCCATAAATATTTAAATCATAATAAATGAACTATCATCATTTTCATAAACATCTTAATTTATTGGGTTGCATTGGTTGTACAAATATAATAGATTGCATTTTAAACGAAATCTCTCTCTCTCTCTCTCTCTCTCTATATATATATATATATATGTATATGTGTGTATTATAGAGAGGAGAATTTTGTGTTAATTGCATGGATCATGCAAGCAGTTTTATGTCACATTGTAGAGTTTACTTTTTTTGCAAGTCACACACATGGCCCTTCTCATTCCATTTTTGGGATGCAAGTTGTATATTTCTTGACTCACTTCTTAAAATACTTCAATTGGTATCTGTAAAAAATATGTTAATTCAGCAGCTTTTTGTCACTTTTTATACAGTAAATTCTCATCAGTACAAGTAATGGAATGGGTCTCTAGCCTTTGATATCGATATGAAGGACATGACGAACATAAATACCCTCTTTAAAGTCGTTGAGTTATAGTTAAAACGTGTTAAAAACTAATTCCATCATTGATCCCTCGTAGATCAGCGAGTGAATTGGTTTTTGACCTTTCCCTTGCTGATCTCTCGCTGATCTATGAGAGATTTTTTCTGTTGTTAATTTCTGTCACTGATGCCGTGTTTTTTAGTAGTGAACAGGGCTAAAGGGACAAGGGTTGTTCTTTTAGGTTGTTATATATTTTTTATGATTGTATTTTATGTATCAAGTCAGTACAGTAAATTCGGTTTTATATGACGCTAAAAATGTATTGACTTGAAACAGAATATCAATCATAAAGATATAAACTTAATTCAGATTTATTGTTGTGGTTTTAAACTGGTTTATAGGATTTAAGTTTAAATTACCAAACAATATATGTCCTATATCTGATATGTCCTATTTAAAACAATTGTGCGTTCTTAAATATCTGATATGTCCTATTTAAAACCACGACTTTGACCAGAATTCAGAACAAATGATTGAAGGCGAAGGGCAATGACGGATAAACAGTTACAAACATATTGCTACATTTTGATTAGATCAACTAATGTGAAGAATTAACGATTAACAAGAAAACGAACAGTTTGATTGAAAAACGTCAAATAACTTGATTATATTTATAAAAAAGATATGTAAATATGATTATAAAAATATAAATATGTGATTTTTTATAGGGGGGCACTTCTTTGAGAACTCTCTAATTTGTGTGATCATTGAGAACCAGTGTATCATGTGTTATTTCATATGATTTTTTACATCAGTAACTAAGAATTTAATGTATTGATTAACATATATTTATTATACAATATGTTTGTTTTACATGTACTCTGTTTACTAGGCGAAACTTTTTGGGTTGTTTTTGAAACAAAAATACAAGTAAAAAAGTTTCACATTGTGAACCGAATACATATGAAACAAACGCATTACGAACCGAATACATATGAAACAAACACATTATGAACTGAATACATACGAAACAAACACATTGTGAAACAAATATATGTTAATCAATAGTTTAACTATTATATTTAGATGAGAAAAATCATGTAAAACAGAACCTTAAAATAGAATTTCCCACACATATAATTTTTTTGGAGTTTTTAACTGATTAATCTCGTTTTTTATATAAACATATATTTAGGGGTTATTTGACAGTTGTTGAATGGTTTGTTGCAGAATGATTAAAAGACTCTTAGATATAGTGCAAAATGAAATATAATTGTTTGGTAATTCTTCACAATGAAATTAGGGCGTTGAATGGTTAAAGAAGACACATGATACAAAATCATTAAGATGATTTTAGAACCATTAAAATGCATACTTTTTTGTTGCTAAACAAGATTCATTCTTTAACGATTTAGAGACTTTCTTTTAATAAAATTATTAAGAAATAAAAAAATTCCATTTAATTGTATAAAAAATTAGTGACGTTTGTGTTCGTTTACAAAAGTACCCAATAATTTAAAAATCGATTATCTTATATTTTAAAAATTAAAATATTAGAAATAAATAAATAAATATATGTATATAAATATATTTTTAAAAGAAAGTGGGATATGCCTAAATTGTGTTTGACTTTTTTGAAATGGTGTGGGTTGACTATGGTAAGCCTGCGAGCCAATGCACTAAAAGAGCATGTGGCTTTATATTAATACACGTGTTTCATGTATGTTATCCACGTGCTCTGTGGGTTGACACGTCATTCATAAGTCGACCACTCATCGTACAGGTTACTTGTCTACGTGGCATTCTATTATGCCTCGTCATCATTGAACTTTACACAAAATAATTAATATAACAAAAAATAATATAAATATAAATCAATGATTAGTTATCAAATAAAATGTCTATTTATTTGAGAAGACTTGAGATTATGTGAGACCGATCTGTTTTTGTGAGACCCGTAAGATCATTTTTTTACATTTGAAACTTCACAGCATTGTGAAGGTAACTTTTACACTGTTTTTGCTGTGAATGTTCGGCTTCTTTTTATCTTCACAGCGTTTTGTTGTGAAATTTCAAGTGTAAAAGAGTAGTCTCACAAAAACAGTTTGGTCTCACGTGAACCCAATCTGATTTGAAAAATTACAAAGTTGCGATAATTTGAAGATTCGTGATGTTAACATCTCTAACAGATATACTAAAATAAAGTTCACATTTAACTATGTGTCTACAATACAGAAAACCTAACTTTCAATTTCAATGATTTGTAGGGTTTTTTCCACCATTTTTAAACATTAAAACTCAAAAAATAAGTTTTAATATGTCACTGTAATAGAGCTGTTTACGAACTAGATGACCCGCTAGACCTGTCCTATCTGGCCCGCTAGACCCGTCCTATCTGGCCCGCTAGAAAAGCGGGCTTGGATTATCATTCTTGAAAAAATGAACGGGTTTGGACCAACTTGTTAAAATTCATGGGTGAACATGAGCAATGGAAAAAAAATATTTGGACGGCAGGCCCATCGGGCCCATTAATATTTTTTTTATAATAATTAACTTTTATGATTAAAATTTACAAATAAAATTGAAATTTGAAAATCTTAAATTTGAAAATATAATTACTTCAATTGATCAGTTATGTATTATTTCATTTAGTCATTTTCTTTATCGATACTTCATATTCAGTGAAACCGTTTCTTTCTAAAGTATGTATATTGTTATGTATTTACGTCAGATTTTAAGCTGGAAAAACTGTTATATATTTTAAATTATTTTACATAATTTGTGATTTTGCATAAGTTTTATTTTCATAAGAATATAACAAGATTTTTAAGCCCGTTAGCCCGTGGGCAAGCCCAGACCATTTATATGATGGGTATGGGTAAGTTTTCAAGCCCATAAAAACGGGCTTCGTTTTACCATATTAGGCTCGTTGGGAAAAAAATAGGTGAAGCCCAGCCGGAGTCCGACCCAAGCCTGCAAATGATCAATTC